AAAAGGGGGGGGGGGGGGTCAATCAATTCGATCAATAACTCGTTGGTCGGCTCAGACATGTGACACAAAAATATGGATAGAAAGGAACAAGAATCAAGGTTGAAGTAAGAAAAAGTGCAAATGGAAACAGAGTAAACTGGATACGAGGAGGATGATAGCTGTAGGAGGTCAACACGGATTCAACACACGGTAGAGCGTAAACTATCGTTGCGAGCTTGTTTCGGACAACGAACCTCGCCTAGACACCTAGACATTAGCCTCTAGGCTCATTACTCGATCCTCGGTCTGGTGGATGGTTTCGCACGGCTTATGAGACCCAGCTAGGTCGAAACAGCTGTCCAGTGCTTCCTAGACTTTCAGATCACGTCTTATTTACGCGAGAGAAAAGGGACGGAATTCCCATCGAAGGCACAACTAGTAGTACGATTGTCTGGAGATCTTGATAATAATGGTAATGTTTGATGGGAGGGGGTGAATGTGAGGTAGAGGAGAAGCTGAAAAAAGATGTGCACGGTGTAAAGCATTTTTTCGTGCGCAAGAACTGAAAGCGCGAGTTATTAATTAGGTTGAAGTTCGTTGTTTGCATTGTGGGCTGTTTTACTACTCGGTCGCCCAGTCCAGAATAGGCCTTGTTCGAGGATGCACTCTAGCCTTTACGCAACCAAGCTACAAGGCATCAGTATTGTTCCAGATAAGCCAGGGATTGGTCGGTTTGTTCATTCGCCTTCTCTGGAAGACCTTGTCGGGTTGATGGAATTCGACAGGGGGAAATGACCGTATTCAGTGGTGGGCCACACTCGCCACGTCACAGCGCTGTCATAAGATACTCGTGATGGTTTGTGTGGAGAACCCTTGCTAAGTGGTAAACCCACCACATCCTCGAGCACTGCCACTGATCGTCCGCGACCGCTTATTCAGTGAGAATAAACCCAGCTTATTCACAGTTAACTGCCAGTTAGCGGCCGTTCCCCTATCCGCGACCTAGGGACGCGCTCGGTAGCGTGCGGCTCTGCTCTTCCCGAGTAGAATGGACGAACCCCATCAGCACGAGCTCCTACTGTTCGGTTATGAGAACCAACAGCTCAATCCCGGGAAATACGAGCGGGTAACTGTACTAGACCCCAGTCGAATAATCATGTTATTGAACCGTTCGAAGATTGAGCTGCCTGGCAGTAGAATTGGGTGGCGGTGCCAGGATTTGAACATCGATAACAGCTATTGAAACCACTCAACTACCAATTCGACGTTCGTTTATCCTACCCACGCACATTGAGCGGGCTGAACTTCTGCTGTTTTCATGCGAACATTTCGCCGACCCCGTTACCCTGTTTTATATTTACATTTCCCCTTTTTCTTTTCCGCGTCCATTCAGGCCGTATCAAAAGAGAATTGCCTTCTCAAATCACGTCTGGAACAGCTTGAAGGGGAATTGAATCAATTGCGCCAGGCCAATGTGATCCAACAACAAGAGCTACAGGTATGTCTCGCCTATTGCAAATTACCATGTAGATCTTGAAATATCCCCATAGATCATTGAAAAGACCAGTAAGCGAAGAATTCTTTTCGATTACTCATTCTCAATCTTCTACATTAATGTGATCACAAGGTGGCAACAAAAGTCATGATTTGCAAAATAAACCGGGGTG